CTAAAGCAACTAGAGAAGGAAGAAATGAAGAACCCCAGGGTTAGTAGAAGGAAAGAAATCTTAAAAATTAGGGCAGAAATAAATGCAAAAGAAACTAAAGAGACCATAGCAAAAATCAACAAAGCTAAAAGCTGGTTTTTTGAAAAAATAAACAAAATTGACAAACCATTAGCAAGACTCATTAAGAAACAAAGGGAGAAGAACCAAATTAACAAAATTAGAAATGAAAATGGAGAGATCACAACAGACAACACTGAAATACAAAGGATCATAAGAGACTACTACCAGCAGCTCTATGCCAATAAAATGGACAACTTGGAAGAAATGGACAAGTTCTTAGAGAAGTATAACTTTCCAAAACTGAACCAGGAAGAAATAGAAGATCTTAACAAACCCATCACAAGCAAGGAAATCGAAACTGTAATCAGAAATCTTCCAGCAAACAAAAGCCCAGGACCAGATGGCTTCACAGCTGAATTCTACCAAAAATTTAGAGAAGAGCTAACACCTATCTTACTCAAACTCTTCCAGAAAATTGCAGAAGAAGGTAAACTTCCAAACTCATTCTATGAGGCCACCATCACCCTAATTCCAAAACCAGACAAAGATGCCACAAAAAAAGAAAACTACAGGCCAATATCACTGATGAACATAGATGCAAAAATCCTTAACAAAATTCTAGCAAACAGAATCCAACAACATATTAAAAAAATCATACACCATGACCAAGTGGGCTTTATCCCAGGAATGCAAGGATTCTTTAATATCCGCAAATCAATCAATGTAATACACCACATTAACAAATTGAAAGATAAAAACCATATGATTATCTCAATAGATGCAGAAAAAGCCTTTGACAAAATTCAACATCCATTTATGATTAAAACTCTCCAGAAAGCAGGAATAGAAGGAACATACCTCAACATAATAAAAGCTATATATGACAAACCCACAGCAAGCATCACCCTCAATGGTGAAAAATTGAAAGCATTTCCCCTGAAATCAGGAACAAGACAAGGGTGCCCACTCTCACCACTACTATTCAACATAGTTTTGGAAGTGTTGGCCACAGCAATCAGGGCAGAAAAAGAAGTAAAAGGAATCCAGATAGGAAAAGAAGAAGTGAAACTCTCTCTGTTTGCAGATGACATGATCCTCTACATAGAAAACCCTAAAGACTCTACCAGAAAATTACTAGAGCTAATCAACGAATACAGTAAAGTTGCAGGATATAAAATTAACACACAGAAATCTCTTGCATTCCTATACACTAACAATGAGAAAACAGAAAGAGAAATTAAGGAAACAATACCATTCACCATTGCAACAAAAAGAATAAAATACTTAGGAGTATATCTACCTAAAGAAACAAAAGACCTATACATAGAAAACTATAAAACACTGATGAAAGAAATCAAAGAGGACACAAACAGATGGAGAAATATACCGTGTTCATGGATTGGAAGAATCAATATTGTCAAAATGGCTATACTACCCAAAGCAATCTATAGATTCAATGCAATCCCTATCAAGCTACCAACGGTATTTTTCACAGAACTAGAACAAATAATTTCACAATTTGTATGGAAACACAAAAAACCTTAAATAGCGAAAGCAATCTTGAGAAAGAAGAATGGAACTGGAGGAATCAACCTGCCTGACTTCAGGCTCTACTACAAAGCCACAGTCATCAAGACAGTATGGTACTGGCACAAAGACAGAAACATAGACCAGTGGAACAGAATAGAAAGCCCAGAGATACATCCACGTACCTGAGGACACCTTATCTTCGACAAAGGAGGCAATAATATACAATGGAAAAAAAGACAATCTCTTTAACAAGTGGTGCTGGGGAAACTGGTCAACCACTTGTAAAAGAACTGTTATTCTGTGTGTAATAACAGCAGTGACCAACAAGAAATTTTATTTAATCCTTCCAAATTTCAATTTCAGGAAGATACTTGGAATATTCTTCCCTGGTGGCTCAGAGGTTAAAGCATCTGCCTGCAATGCGGGAGACCCGGGTTCAATCCCTGGGTCAGGAAGATCCCCTGGAGAAGGAAATGGCAACACACTCCAGTATTCTTGCCTGGAGAATCCCATGGATGGAGGAGCCTGGTGGGCTACAGTCCCCAGGGTCGCAAAGAGTCCGACATGTCTAAGCGACTTCACTCACTTAGTGATGTCACGTCATGATCAACTGAGCTTTATTCCAGCAAAGCAGAGATTATTGGAATATCAGGAAATCCATTCATCTAATTCACCATCAATAACAATACATTGGAAAGATCTGGAGATTACCACTTTAATCACATATTCAAACTTAGAACTACTGAGAACTTTGGGACTCTTGATGGCGTCAGCATCATCTATGAAGTAAATCTTACCAAGAATATTTAATTCAAATCTAATCAAAGACTTAGACTGAACTTCAAGTTCACAGGAAATACCATTGAACAATTCTGTGAGGAAAAATTTCTGACAAAAGCAGAAATGATTTTACACACAACAAGATAACTGGCCTGGTCATATCAATAAGTCACTACTATGGATGATAAAAGTGGGATGGATGATTAACCTAGATCAAGAGAAACTAAAGAAACAGAACACCATACAACAACTCTGACTAGACTCCAGTTCAAAAAAACCACCTATAAACTATTTTAGGATAGCACAGACAAGATGGTAGCTGGGAATGACTGCTAATTTTCTTATGTGTGATAACAGTGCTAGAATTATGTAGGAAAGTATTCTTATTTTAGAATATGCTTGATGATAACTTATTTAGGAGTGAAAATATCATTATGGCAACAACATACTTTTATGTGGTTCACACACACACACATAATACCACACATACATAGATTTAGAATCACATAAAAATAAAGTAAAAATAGTAAAATGTTAAATATGGTTGACTCCAGGTGATGATTATACAGGTATTCATTTCAACATTTTCTGTTGAAATGCAAGCAAATAACTTCAAAAATGCCACCTTATCATTCAAGTGCTAAAAAATAAATCAAAGCAAACTTGGTCTAAAGCATCTTTAAAGTTTCATATATGAGTAACATACTTTTAAATCATATTTCCAAAAACCAATATTCATATTTATAAACTGATCAAGAAGTTACAATCGCCAGAAAAATACTCTCATTACTTATGGGGGAGAAAACAATAAAAATACTTAACATAACAGTTACCATGTGTGTCAGACACTCTTCTAAGCACTTTTTACATAACTAACTCATTTAATTCTCTGAACAATCATATGAGTACTTAATCACTGTCTCCATTTTCCAGATAAGGAATAAGCCACAGAAGTCACACAGTAAGTGGCAGAGCTAGTCTCCCAAGTCAAATAATATAGGTCCAGTATCCACACTGATTTAATGACTACTCTGTACTCTCCTCTTGGGTGGGGTAACCTATATTTCTGAGCAGTATTTTTGTTTAGTCTCTTAGTCATGTCTGACTCTTTTGTGACCTCATGGACTGTAGCCCACCAGGCTCCCCATCCATGGGATTTCCTAGGCAAGGTTACTGGAGTAGGTTGCCATTTCCTCCTCCAGGGCATCTCCCCTACCCAGGGATCAAACCCGCATCACCACATCTCCTGAATTGCAGGAGAATTCTTTACTACTGAGCCACGAGGAAAGCTCATGTTCCTAGCAATACTGACTTGATTTTGCTGGGGTTATAACACCCTTTGATTTTAGTAATTTTACTAATCCAAAAGCATGATCAAACAGAGAATCACAAAAAATTAGGTGCATTTACAAAAATGCATTAAAATGGACTCAGGTAGTTTAGGGCTTCCCTGCTGTCTCAGTGGTAAAATAATCCACCTGCCAATGCAGGAGACTTGGGTTCAATCTCTGGGTCAAGAAAATCCCCTGGAGAAGGAAACGGCAACCCACTCCAGTATCCCTGCCTGGGAAATCCCATGAGTAGAGGAGCCTAGCAGGTTACAGTTCAGAGGGTCGCAAAGAGTCAGACACGAGTTAGTGACTGAAAAATAACAGGTAGTTTAGGTAAATATTTAGTTATATAACAAGATCTATCTATATTCTTACTAGAGGATCGATGATTACAATAAACATCTTCATCAGCTGAAAGATGACCCCATCTTGATTAACACATGACACTATCTTGATTATCTGGGATAAAAGTGGAATCAAAGCAGGTCTCAGCAGTTAAAATAAATATTCTTGAGATGGCAAAAATCATTTTATGCCAAATGTTTAACCTCAACAGTTTACTTGACTGAAAAACTTTTACATAACATTTGTAGTATTTTGCAGAAACCTTATTATTCCACATGGAACATTTTCAAATTGATAACAAAATTTTTTCTTAATGAGAAGATATGTTAAAATTAATAACTGATTTAAGAGAGGTAAGGAGTCTAAAGCAAATTACAAATCTATATGAATAAAGAAAATTACTATTTATTTTCTTAGGTGTGACAATGGTATTGTGGTTACTGAAAAGATCTTTAACTGGAATTTATGCATGTCATATTTTAAAGTTTGGCACATCAGAGGAGACTCCAGATTTTAAGTAAACAAAGACTAATGAGTATTACTACTATATAATAACTATTTTTACTTTATTTTTATGTGATTCTAAATCTATGTATGTGTGGTATTATGTGTGTGTGTGTGAACCACATAAAAGTATGTTGTTGCCATAGTGATATTTTCACTCCTAAATAAGTTATCATCAAGCATATTCTAAATAAGAATACTTTCCTACATAATTCTAGCACTGTTATCACACATAAGAAAATTAGCAGTCATTCCCAACTACCATCTTGTCTGTACTATCCTAAAATAGTTTATAGGTGGTTTTTTTGAACTGGAGTCTAGTCAGAGTTGATGTATGGTGTTCTGTTTCTTTAGTTTCTCTTGATCTAGGTTAATCATCCATCCCACTTTTATCATCCATGGTAGTGACTTATTGGTATGACCAGGCCAGTTATCTTGTTGTGTGTAAAATCATTTCTGCTTTTGTCAGAAAAGATCTTTAACTGGAATTTATGCATGTCATATTTTAAAGTTTGGCACATCAGAGGAGACTCCAGATTTTTAGTAAACAAAGACTAATGAGTATTACTACTATATAATGTCAATCTCCATTTTTCATAGGCTTAAAAACATAAATAAGTATAAACTTAAATTTTCCATCAAATATTTGCAAGATTGAGAAATACATGTGGAAATATTTCTCCTCCCTGGACCACAACAAACACTAAGCAAAAAAAAAAAGCAAAACTCTAATTTGGGTGAGAATGGTTCTACTAAGTATGTAGATACACAACATTTTACCTGCTTTTTCTCTCAATTAGAATGGCCACGTAAGATGATGGCAAAGCGGCACCAAAGCCGGGACTCCATAAGTAGAATTTTCCAAGTATCTTCCTGAAATTGAAATTTGGAAGGATTAAATAAAATTTCTTGCTGGTCACTGCAATTATTACACAGAGAAGTTCCCCTTCCCTGTTCACCCTCTGTCTAGGTGTCCCACAGCAAATCAAATTCAACATGACCAGAGCCAAGCTCACTCCTCTTCTCCCCAGGCTCCATGAGCTTGCTCTTCCTCATCTTCTCCTAGGTTAACGACATCAACAACTACTCATTCACCTACGTGGGGCACTTGGAGACATCCTTGGCTTCTCTGTCTTCCATACATGGAGTCATCCACCTAAGTATTTCCATATACAGTTTATCTCTCAAATGCCTCTCCAACCTACTGCCTTTGCCTCAGTTAAGTCTCTCACCATCTCTTCTTCAGGCTACTAGTACAGCAAACTAATAGGTATCTCTCCTTGCAGTAATTTAATCTGTTATATTCATTCAGACATTCCCTGGATCCAATACTGTTCACCGTGCAAACCTCTAGGTTCTCAGTTTCCTCATCTATCACATGGGAATAAATATATTATCTATCTCATATATAATTGTTATGATGGCTACATGAGATACTTCCCAACACCATGCATGGCAAAAAGGAAACACTCAGAAAATATTAGCTATTGTTACTACTATTATCATTATTATCACTATTACAATTTTTTCAGCTTTTATTGATGTATAATTGATTTACCATAGCATGCTAGTTTCATGTATATAGAAAAGTGATTCAGCTATATATATATTTTTTCAGATTCTTTTCCCTTATAGGTTATTATTAATACAAAATATTGAGTAGAGTTCCCTGTGCTACACAGTAGGTCCTTGTTGGTTACCTATCTTATATATAGTAGGGTGTTTATGTTAATCCCATATTCCTAATTTACCCCTCACCTTTCCGCTTTCATAAATTTGTTAGTATTATGTCTGTGGGTCTCTTTCTGTTTTGTGTATAAGTTCATTATATCTTTTTTTTTTTTTACTACTTCTATTTTTTAACACATGATAAATATTCAACAAATGTCTCTCTTTTGCTTCTATAAGCCTGGATAAGTTTCTCTCACATCACTTACTAAAATATTTTATATCTTTTAATTATATGTGTATATAAAGTTTTTCTTTTACTAGAATACATCATTTGAAAGAATCTGCAAAATGTCTCACTATGGTGCCTCACTACAAATGGCCATTAACTTCTTGGCTTTTCAAAGGGAAAATAAAAACAAGTCTGGAGATATTACGAAATTCCTTTTTCCTTTCAAAGGCGATATATTCCTAAGAAGGGGAGAAACAAAAAAATAATATGAAAGTATCTGAACAAAGTTGCTCAACTACTAAATGATGTATTATAGGAAAAAATATTTACTATATACATACAGATAAGGATCAAGAATCACAGATAAAATTATTTTTTCATTAGCTTTAAAAAATTAGAAAATCTACAAATAACATGGGTATTTCTGCAATGGGCATCAGAAACTTCCTACCCGAGAAAACTGGAGCTAGTTCTCCCTCCAATAAAATCCACAAATGATTTAATAAATCACTGGATGTAAGAATTAAAGAAAAATAACTCAGTGACTCAGGTATAGGAGGAATACAGATGTTACCTTATAATTAGTATTTAATGTTTTCACTACTTAACCAAAGGGTTCACATAACATAAATATGCTTCAAGAACAATTTATTATTATTATCAAACCTAATTATCCTACAACTCTATTTTTAGAGTTTTAACAAGTATTAGAAACTTTCCAAAGACTACATGATAAACAGTTTCTTGCACAGATTATTCAGGTCAATTTAAAGGCATGACTTACTCAATAGTATAAATTATATCAATTATTTTCTGCACAATTTAAAAGTTTATAAATGTTATTGTTCTTAAGGGAAAAGAATCTATGAAAGACACCTGGAAATTATATTTCTTACTGCAATTAAAATTTACCTGCAGAATTACTTTGGGCAATACTAAGTGGGTAAGATAATATTAATACAATGTGAAATATTTCAACTTGACAAATTAAATAACTAGTTTGGATTGTTTGAAAGATAAGAAGTAAATATCTACTAAATATGTTAGGTACATCTCAACACTAAACCTTGAATTCTAACTGCATATATATAGCATGAAGCATGTGACACAGATAATGCACTGAATCAGGACCAAAAGTTTCATCAATAGGATATGCCAGAAGTTTTACAGATAAACACAAGCATCTTATGGTCCTTTTGAAGTCTGTTCACTACATATGGACCTAAGCTATATCATAGACAGTTGCTTTGAATTTCTAATCTATAAAACTGAAAAGTTAAGAAATCCTCATTAACAACTCAGTAAATAAAGTGGGCCCCAGAAAATGTATGAATTATTAAAGCACTTTTGTTACATAATCACAGCAATGATTTGAACTTTATATCACATCTTAGGCCAAGAGGGCCACAACTCCTGGTTTTGCAAGGTTTGAGATAAATAAATGTCATGCCACAGAGAGAAAAAAATAAACAAAGAGTGACCTGCCCAACATTTATATAAACATCTGTTTGTTCCAATGTCAACAAAGGAAATTTGCATTAATCTCCAGTGGTTATTATGAGTACCAACCTTAAAATGCAAAAGAAAGCCATAAACAAGGCCCCATTAGCAGTCAGAAATGAAGCAGACTGTAGGATCTCAGGGAGCAATTTGTGTAAATAATAGTCTAATTTTCGTTTCCGCAGAATTGCTGCAATCTGAAAAGAAAAAGGGTCTTTTGTTTAATCCAACCAACTTTTCCCACTTAAGTTAGTTCTTATGTGGAAGATACTGAAATAACAGCATATGTTTAAAAATTCAAGTAGAAACCCTGGTATTTTATAGATCCTCTATGAAAATTCAATTTTCGGGACAGAAAGAAAACACTTTAATCTACTGAAGGTATAATAGGTAAAGGGCCACAACATGGATCAATCACATGATAGGTAACCTCCAAATTTGAGGTAATTATTTATAGTGCCTTAAAAAGTTTTAGACTGAAAAATAAGATACATTTTTAAACAGAAAAAAAGTGAAGTTCAATTCAAATAGAAATTGAATGCTAAACTAAACTGCATTACAGATATTATCAACATGAATATTAGAGAATTTCAGTGACAAAATCTAGAAAATGATAAAAACCATTCATTCAGTTTCATTGAAAAGGGAATATGAGCTAGATCAGTAGCATTCTCACATGTACCATGAAGAAACACTGTTCTAGTCAAGGTGAAGCAATATTATCAAAGGAACAAAGATGACAGAATTAGGGAATGAGGGAGGGAATGTAAGAAAGTGCAAGACAGACAAGAAAAGGAAGATCAGAGAAGCCTGCATTCACTCCTCACCATTCTAGGCAAAACACTTTCCCTGTGCTAAGGGAAATCTAATGGCCTCTTCTCAGTTCTTCTCTTATTCTACCCCTTAGAAGCTTCTGATCATCTACTTCACTCAATTAAACAAACTGTTATTAAGAATTATGCCATGCCCAGGAAAAACAACGATGAGTAAATCTAATTCTTGCCTGCAAGGAACACAAAAACTTGATAGAGAAACAGACATATAAACAATTAATGACAGTATGGCAGTGTGTTAAATGCTAGACTAGAGGAAGGAGAAACTGCTATAGAACTACTATTAGAACACAACCAAAACGGAGATGGGTCTGAGCAGACAACATTGTCTGGAAGATGGATCTTGGCAAATAGGTAAAATGTTGACAAAAGAGAAGTTTCTATGGTTTCTGTGACTGCAGTCTTCTCATTCTCCCACTATATCTCTAAATGCTATTCCTTTGTTAGCATTTGTTCCTCAGATCTCTACTCATTTTGTATATGGTCACTCCCACAGCATCATCTATCATATCAAAGTAGAAATTCCAATATAACCCTATCATTTCCATTAAATTCTTAATCCAGACTTCAAATGTCTATTGCACATATCAATAAAGATGTACCAAAAACATTAAAAAAAAAAAATCAGCCTGTCCAAAGCAAAACTTCTTGTATTTCCTCTAAGTGCTTTTAATTCTGAGTTTCCAAGCTCAGGTAATAGCGTCACAATCACCTAATTAAGTTATTAAGGAACAAAATATTGGTGTCATTTTCAATTACTCCCTGGATCCTCAACCATCTCCTCAGTTCTAGTGGTCTTCTACTATCTTCAGGGTTTAGAAAGTAGTCTCTTTCATTTTAGACTTTTGGCATCCGGTCCCATCACTTCATGGTAAATAGATGGGGAAACAGTGGAAATAGTGTCAGACTTTATTTTGGGGGGCTCCAAAATCACTGCAGATGGTGAGTGCAACCATGAAACTAAAACACGCTTACTCCTTGGAAGGAAAGTTATGACCAACCTAGACAGCATATTAAAAAGCAGATAAATTACTTTGCCAACAAAGGTCCATCTAGTAAAGGCTACGGTTTTTCCAGTGGTCATGTATGAATGTGAGGGTTGGACCGTGAAGAAAGCTGAGCGCCGAAGAATTGATGCTTTTGAACTGTGGTGTTGGAGAAGACTCTTGAGAATCCCTTGGACTGCAAGTAGATCCAACCAGTCCATCCTAAAGGAGATCAGTCCTGGGTGTTCATTGGAAGGAACTGATGCTGAAGCTGAAACTCCCCAATACTTTGATCACCTCATGCGAAGAGCTGACTCATTTGAAAAGACCCTGATGCTGTGAAAGATTGAAGGCAGGAGGAGAAGGGGACGACAGAAGATGAGATGGCTGGATGGCATCACTGACTCAATGGACATGAGTTTGAGTAAACTCCAGGAGTTGGTGATGGACAGGGAGACCTGGCGTGCTGCAATTCATGGGGTCACAAAGAGTCAGACACAACCGAGCGACTGAACTGAACTGACTGATAGGCAGAATAAGGTATGCTGCTTCATACTCAAGTAGTTACAGAAAAAATTTCTTCTGTTCCTGGAAACACACATAATATCTCTTATAACAATTAGGTTATATACAAGTATCTCTATAACCCAACCGTCTAGTAAACATAACTCCCAAGCAATTTACACACACAAACACACACACACACACACACACACACACACCCCTCCTAGAACTAATAAAGCAACTGAGCAAGGGCATACGAAAGAAGTCAAACATACAAAACTTACCGGTATTTCTATATGCAACTAATGAATACATGGACCCGCCAAATTAAAAATACAACAGCATTTATAACTCCACAAAAACTAAAACACTTAGGGAAAAATCTGTAACACCTGTATAGGACTTATATGCTGAAAGTTATCCAATGCTGATGTTAGAAATCAAGAACATATAAATAAACACTCATAGACAGAAAGACTCAATATAGAAAAACATCAGTTCTGCCCCAAAGTGATATATAGGTTTAACACAGTTCCTACTACAACCTCAGAAAAAGTTTTGGAGTGGTTGAGAAGATTATTTTGAAATTTACATAGAAAAGCAAAAGAACTATAAGAGCTAAAATAACATTGAAAAAGAGAATGAACTGGGATGAATGAGTCTACGCAATTTCAAGACATATCATACAGCTACACGATGGTTCTATGACACTGGCAGAGGGACTGACAGACAGATTAATGAAACGGAATAGAGAACCTAGACACAGACCCATATAGATACATCCAGCTGAGTTTTGACAAGGCACACATGCAATTCCACAGAGGAAAAACAGCTTTTTCAGCAAAGGGTACAGTAGTAAATAGAGCTCCATCAGCAAAAGAAAAAAAATTAGCTTCAAAGTCTCACAGTTTATACAAAAATTCAAACTATTAGGGACATAAATGTAAAACATAAAACTACAAAACTTCTGAGAGGAAAAAAATCAGAGAAAATCTTAGAGATCTAAGTCTAGGCAAAAGCACAATTCACAAAAGGAAAAACTATAAATTACACCTCAAAGTTAAAACTTTTTCTCTGTGAAAGACCTGTTAGAAGATTTAAAAAAGCCAAGGTTTAGAATGGGAGAAGATATTTGTAAACTACAGACCTAGTGAAGGACTAGTATCTAGAATGTAGAAGAAAATCTCAAAATTCAACAGTAAAAAAATTAATGACCCAATTAGAAAATACAAATGATATGAACAGATATTCACCAAAGAGAATATGCAAGTGGAAGATAAGCACATCAGTCATTTAGGAAAACCACAATAAGCTATCACTACAGAACTGCCAGAATAATTAAGTTTAAAAATACTGAAAACACCAAACGCTGGCAAGAATGCAGAGAAACTGGATCTCTCGTGCATTGTCAGAGGGAATGTGAAATAGCAGAAGCATTCTAAACAACAGCGTGACAGTTTCTTTAGAAACTAAGCAAGCAACTATCATATGACTCAGCAACTGCAGTCCCGGATGTTCACCCTAGGAAAATGAAAATGTTCACCCCAAATTACAGCAGCTTTGTTCCTAACAGTCAATAAATGGAAACAACCCCTATGTCCTTTAAGAGGTAAATGGTTTAAAAACTGAGTTGTATCCACACTATGGGTTACCATTCAGCAATAAAAAGAAACAAGCTTGTGATACATGACAAATATTGATGAATTTCCAGAGAATTATGCTAAGTGAAAAAAGCCAATTGCCAAAGACTACATATATATATAATTCCATTTATAGAACATACATGAAATGACAAATTCATAGACATGAAGAATAAACCAACGGTGACCACGAGTTAAGTGGAGGTGGTAAGGGGGAGGAAGTAGGGAACGCTATAAAGGGGCACCAGGAGGGATCCTTGTGGTGATAGAAGGGTCCTGTATATGACCATGCTGTCTAGCCACCAAGTCAGTCTGCCTCTTTCCGACACTGGGAATGGTAGCCCTCCAGGCTACTCTGTCCATGGGATTATCCCAGCAAGAGTACTGGAGTGGGCTGCATTTCCTCCTCTAGGGGACCTTCCCAATCCAGCGATAAAACCCATGTCTCCTGCACTGCAGGTGGATTCTTTACCACTGAGCCACCAGAGACTATATCAAGGCAGTTATTTAGGTTATGTTATTTTACTATCATTTTGCAGGATGCTACCACTGGGAGACACCAGAAAAAGTGTACAGAGAATCTATTATTTCTTCCAACTACTTGAAAAGAAAGTCAGCTGCTCAGTCGTGTCCGACTCTTCTCGACCCCACGAACTGTAGCCCGCCAGGCTCACCCTGTACAGTCCATAGAATTCTCCAGGCCAGAATACTAGAGTGGGTAGCCTTTCCCTTCTCCAGGGAAATCTTCCCAACCCAGGGATCAAACTAAGGTCTCCCACATTACAGGTGGGTTCTTTATCTGCTGAGACACAAGGGAAACCCTCCAATGACTTAAGAATCTACAATGATCTCAAAGTTAAAACTTCTATGAAAAAGCAGTCATCCACATGGCCAATGGGCATATGAAATATGCTCAGCATCACTAGTCATCAGAAAACTGTACAATGAAATACCACTACACACATGCACACCAGAATGTCTAAAACAAGGAGAAATGGCAATGCAAAGCACTGTCAGGAATAAAGTAACTGGAGCTTCACACACTGCTGATGGGAATGTAAAATTGCATACTTACTTCAGAAAACTATTATTATCTAACGAAACTAAATGAACTCTTATGCTATGATCTGGCAATTTCACGTCTAGGAATATAACCAAGAGAAATAACTGCTTATGTCCACCAAAAGTCATATTCATAACACACACACACAGAAAAAAAAATACCACAAAACAC